TCGGCGCGGAGCCCCCGCGCGCCGCCGGTTCCGGGCCCGGGCCCGGGCGTGGTGCTGTACCTGTGCCCCGAGGCGCAGTGCGGACAGACCTTCGCTAAGAAGCACCAGCTGAAGGTGCACCTGCTGACTCACAGCAGCAGCCAGGGCCAGCGGCCCTTCAAGTGCCCCCTGGGCGGCTGCGGCTGGACCTTCACGACGTCCTACAAGCTCAAGAGACACCTGCAGTCGCACGACAAACTGCGGCCCTTCAGCTGCCCGGCGCAGGGCTGCGGCAAGAGCTTCACCACCGTCTACAACCTCAAGGCGCACATGAAGGGCCACGAGCAGGAGAACTCCTTCAAGTGCGAGGTGTGTGACGAGAGCTTCCCCACGCAGGCCAAGCTGAGCGCGCACCAGCGCAGCCACTTCGAGCCCGAGAGACCCTACCAGTGCGCGTTCTCCGGCTGCAAGAAGACCTTCATCACGGTGAGTGCCCTGTTTTCCCACAACCGCGCCCACTTCAGGGAGCAGGAGCTCTTCGCCTGCTCTTTCCCGGGCTGCAGCAAGCAGTACGACAAGGCCTGCAGGCTCAAGATCCACCTGCGCAGCCACACGGGCGAGAGGCCTTTCCTGTGCGACTTCGACGGCTGCGGCTGGAACTTCACCAGCATGTCGAAGCTGCTGAGGCACAAAAGGAAGCACGAGGATGACCGCAGGTTCACGTGCCCGGTGGAGGGCTGTGGGAAATCCTTCACCAGGGCTGAGCATCTGAAAGGCCACAGCATCACCCACCTGGGCACGAAGCCTTTCGTGTGCCCCGTGGAGGGCTGCTGTGCCAGGTTCTCCGCTCGAAGCAGTCTCTACATTCACTCCAAGAAACACCTGCAGGACGTGGACACTTGGAAGAGCCGGTGCCCTGTCTCCACCTGCAATAAACTCTTCACGTCCAAGCACAGCATGAAGACCCACATGGCCAAAAGGCACAACCTGGGCCACGACCTGTTAGCCGAACTGGAAGCTGCGAATTCCCTGACGCCCAGCAGCGAGCTGGCCAGCCAGGGGCAGAACGATCTCAGCGAGGCGGAGATCGTGTCTCTCTTCTCCGACGCGACCGGCAGTGGTTCCGCCGCGGTGCTGGACACAGCGCTGGTGAGCTCTGGAATCTTGACTATTGATGTGGCTTCTGTGAGCTCAACTCTGGCAGGGCATCTCCCAGCCGGGAGTAGCAGTTCCGCAGGGCAGGCTGTGGACCCTCGGGCCTTGATGGCCGCCGGTGACCTTCCTCAAAGTCTGGATACCTCTCTGTTTTTTGGGACGACAGCCACTGGCCCTCAGCAGGGTCCCGTGGACGTGGACAGCGTCTGCAGTGTCAGCGCGGGGCCCTTGGGGTCCCTAGGCGCTTTGGCTGCGAAAAGCTCCGCTCCAGAGCCGCAGCCCCAGGCTCTGACACCCAGCAGTAAGCTAACGGTGGACGCAGACGCTCTGACTCCTTCGAGTACCCTTTGTGAAAACAGCGTCTCGGAACTGCTGACACCGACCAAAGCGGAGTGGAACGTGCATCCTGACTCGGACTTCTTTGGACAGGAGGAAGAAGCCCAGTTTGCTTTCTCCAATCCGGCAAGAAACCACGCTTCTCAGAAGGAAGCAGAGCTCATCACGGTGACTGGCAGCCCGTTCTTGGTATGAACCGCCTCTCCTTGCCCCTTGCCGTGTGGCTTGCTTCTGCTACACTCAACTTGGAGGGTACTCGGGACTGAGTGCTTCTGCGCAGTCGTTTCCTAGTGCTTCGCGAAAGAACGCATCCCTGGACGGCAAGTTTGTGGAGGGTTTAAATTCGGATCTTGACTCTGGAAATGACACGTTCTGTGACCCGGAACAACTCACTTAACCTGTCTGAGCCTTAATCTCTTTATGTATAAAAAGAAGTAGCTTGAATGGTTTGTTTCAAAGGGTTTTTTAGATGTGTACTTTCAAGATTTTTTTCTGTTTCTGGATAAACTAGAGTAGTTTTCTGATGATTTTTCATTGCATATGCTTCTAATATAAGGAAATGTCCTTTGATCACTTTGAGTATTAAAAATGGGAGATGGAAAAAAAAATGGGAGATGGAGAAAGTGGTGTTTCACTTTAAATATTTAATCGATATATTTTTCAAAGTGACAAAATGTTTGTAAAATGTATTAGTACACCTCAGAAAAAGTAAAAACTTCTTTATTTCTCTTTAACCTTTTTTTTTTTTAACTTGAAGGCTGTATTTTTTTTTTTTGGATGGTGTTGGAGCTTTGATACGGTTGACATCCAGATTGGTATAGTGCCTTTATGTATTTCAAAATTGGTGTTAAAGAATATTTAGTCTTGTAGATTCTTAGTTCCCTAGCGTAGATTTATATCTATATAGGTGTATATATATATATATGTATGTATATATATATGTGTGTGTGTGTATACATATATATATGAGATAAATGACACTTCTTTTTCTATCATAGTGTGTAGTGAATGGAAAATATTTTTTTGTTTTGGCATAGTTTGATAAATCATTTCTTTTCTCTCCAGTTCCCTCTTCAAGCGGGGAAGTTAGTATAATTTCTTATTATACTTATTCAGGCAATATCGTTTTGTAAGGGTTAAGAATAAAAGAATGGAGTTGTTTCCTCCATTGATTTCTTTATATTTTTCTCCACATAATTCTTATGTGACATTACCACCTGTCTGTTATTCCAGTTTGCTAGTGTCTTTGTCTGTATTCAAAGCCAGTTCTTGGCTTGCCTGTAGATGCTACTATTTCAACAAAATTTGGGAATAGACCAGAAAGAAATTTTCTCTCCTGTACTGTGGAAAACTTATTGCTGACCTTCTCTGAAATACGATGTTGTGTCTGCATTTTGACTAGTTGTGATGTATCTTGCATGAGCACCGCATTTTATATTACAGAATTTTCATACCCATGATATTTGATCATCACAGTTCTGTGATGTAGTTATATCAAAGTCTGAACTATGACTGATATTAAAATTTATTTCACTCATACTACAATGTATTTCACTTAGTAACTTTTAATTCATTCTTTCTCAGTTTTCTCTCCAGATAGGTGGCATTAAAATCAAGGAGGAAATATTTCTTCCTCTTCCATTGCAGTCATGAATTTTATGGTCATTTCATTTATAATCTATTGCTTTGTTCCAGCTTAATTTATATCTATTACTGTCTGCCTGTTCTGCTTCTTCTCTACCCTCTTACCTTGCATGTGCACACTGGTCTCGTCTCATCTCTTCTCTTCTCCTTTTTCTCTTCTCTCTTCTCTCTTTCTTTCTTTCTTTCTATTTTTAATTAAATCTTTTTTATGGTCACGATGTCCAGTCATTCTGTTCACAGTCCATTTTTCAGTCACAGCATTTATGACAACTCTGTGTGTGCAGTGAGAAATAATTTTTGATTCAGATGACAATGTGTTTATATATGAATCAGATGATAGTGTGATATTCTATACAAGGTTTTAGAGAGAAGTACTTCTACTTTTCTAAAATTTTCCCCATGTAATTCTGCTAGCAAACCCTATTAGTTTTTTCAAACAGTCAAATCCAGTACTGTTTGCCTGTAGACAGTTGAGGATAACAACTGTCATAATACTTTGGCAATACACTTCAAAATATTCCACTTTGGAATGTCTTCATATTTTTCCAGTTGGTTGTATTTTTGCAGCAAAAAGCAAAAATGTATACATAAATTTGTAATTGATAAAAGTAGTGGGAATTTTGTCATGTCCAAGCATTTAACAGTTTTCCTTCAGCACTTTGGAAAGATTCTAAACTGTTTTACAAATGTGTTGTCATTATTTAAAAACAATTAACATCCCTTAGATTCTTCTTTTCCTATGCAGAGGAGCACAAAGACCTGAGGTGAATGTATAAGCCATAGGCCTCAATTAAGATATATAACCATAACAATATTTAAAAATCTATTTTGTTAATTTAATCCCTCAGATCAATTTCTCCCCATTGAAAACTGCCATAAATTGTACTTTTGCCACAGTCTGTGGAACTTTCAAAGGGTAAATTTTGCCTTTTTTTCCTCTTTCAATATCATTTTCCTAGCATGATGGTGAAAATGACATGGAATTATACTCAGAAGTGTGGCTACAAATATAGTGATTACATCTTTATTGGTAATGGCATAAATTTGCCAGTTATTTAAAGCAATAAGACATGAGTTAATTTTCTAATTTGGCTTTTGTTGCTGTTTAGTCTTTGATTTATTAAACTTTTCCAGTTGAAAACATAAAATATCTTGGAGGAAGGTTTAATCCCTGAGGGCCCTATTAAGCATATTATCATGAGTTAAAATATGTTAATTTTGACATTTTACCACTTAACTCATTATAGTGTTACATAATTAAAAGCTTTGAGTACAAAAGTAAAAGTTTAAGGGGATCGTCTTTCTGGATTAAATGTTCCATATTCTCCAGGGACAAGGAGAAAGGAAGCTTTACTATAACAGGGTATTTCGATTATTCCTTGATTCCAAATTAAGCAATGATTTACTCTGTGCTTGGGAATATTCATAATCCTTCACTCATTTTTGTACCAAACAGATCCACTGGTGATTTTATAATACTAAAAATCTAATATAAATGCAGGTCATTTAAAATATATGACTATTGAAATGTAAAGGTGAACTAAAATTTATATATGTATTGCTTTTGGAAATTAAGTTTGCTTAGCAACTTTTTAAAAACAAATTGTGCCTTGTTGGTTTAAGGAACATGTCTAAGCACAAACTACTATAAATACAAAGCACTCTTTAAAAAATAAATTTTATATATTTTTCAAACATAAATTGATGGAGCCTTTAGTAATAATTTTTAAACTAGCGACCCTATTGCAAATTTCAAGTTAATTTATAGGCTATACATGGAATGCAAGGTAGAATACTAGCACTAAAGTAAGAAAAATAAAATATGAGCCATATTTTATGTTAGAGAGGACATAGCAATTCACATAGTAAACATTTAACAACTAAGTACCATCAAACATATTAACATTAAATAAATGATCTGGAGGAGGAGGGAACATAGAAGATTTAGTTACGTGGAGAAGAAGGTTGATGAGTTCTAGTCAGGAAGAAAAGCCCAAGAAACAATTCTAAATGGAATTAACTATACTGGGAAAAACATGCAAAGTTCATGTTTGGTGACTGCTGGGTGTTTAGGGGGTTGGACTATTAGTATGAAGCCAAATACTAGAAGACCATGAATCCAAGTCATAATTGGCAGGACTTTATTTTGGATATGTTTAAGAGCCAGTGATGTTATTTGAGAAGAGAAATATATATATATATATATATATATATATATATATATATATATTAATATAGTGAACATACAAAGTGAAAATTAGAAGAGGATGACTAAGATAGGAAAATTAGTTAGGAGTCTGTTGTAATAATTCCAGGGTCCTGTGATGAAGGCTTGGACTAGAATGATGGCAAGAAGGGACAGATATAGATGGTTTAGAAGTGTAGAAACAAATATAACTTGGTGACTGACTGAGTTTGGATGATCCATCATGAAGAGAAAGAAACAAAAATGACTAAGCATTTCTGGCAGGTACAAAATATATGAAATCTTCTCAAGTACATTATGGAAATATGATTAAGTCATATTTAATTCATTGGGAAGTGATGAATCATGGTTATCATTCCAATAGCCTTGAGGAGTATGTGTATGTATATACACTATTGGAGAGTAAGACCACTTCATCTTTCTTGGTTTTCTCATATGTTCACATTTAATACTGGCACTTTTATTCTCTTGCAGTATTTACAGACCCTTTTCAACCTTGTACATTACATACTCTAGACTACTCTGCGTCAAAATAAACTTCTTGCTGCCTTTTCTTCCTATTGTTTTTTCTTCTGCTGCAGATATTTAACAGATATTTTATATGGTGCTTAGTAATATAAAATATCTGCTGCCCATCATTTGGAAGATGTTAGTCATTTTTTTAAACAGTTCCTCATAATAAACTTTGTTTTATATTTATCTGGGTTTTTTTCTCAGACTGGAAGATACAGATTGCCCAAGTTAGTGATCTTTAGGGCTTTTATAATCTCTTTCATTTGATAAGAAATGTAGGTCATTTGTAGGTCAAATAATGTATGTGGGAACTCAGTCACAGAAATGATATTGTTTTGTACATGTCCTAACATATTCTCCCCATTTGATATTTATGATTACTACTAATAGTCATAACTCAAAGGGGATGGACTGCAAACGAGTACCACTAGTAACAGTGATTACATTTTGTTTAATTATGAATTTGCCATCCTGTATTGTGGACAGAACAATTTACCTCATTGTTTTCTGCTGATATTTATGAATTGCAAAATGCATTTTCATTTTGCATATAGAAAATGTCTTAATTATATTAAAGCATAAAATTATTCTTAAGAGGACTAATACAGTGTACCTTTTTACAAATATTTTTTATACCTCTTTATCAGCTCATTAAGTGGCTAATAGTTATTGAGTATGAGGTATTAAAAAGTATAACACAAAAGTATACTTAATTAATTTAGAGAAATATTTTGAGCACATATCTGACAAATTCTACCATTTCCTCTGCACATTATCTAGATAGGTACAAAATATCAGCAAGCAATGAAAAAGAATATATAATCAGTCTAATATATATTAAAATAGCTTTTCATTATCACAGTATGGACTCAAAATTGCAATGAGGAAAATTCAACGCACAGATTATGAAATGTTACTTCAAAAAGTTCTAAGAGTCTAAAACTTAAGCTAAGATATAGCAACTAAGATAGACTGTCATAAATGAAAATTTAAACCAAATTGAGAACAGTAATGTTTACTATTTGCAACAAACTTAATCTTATGAATAAGTAGTAAATTACACTTTATTATTGATAGCACTGTTACGTGTTTTGCCTTGAAGTGATCTTTTGGAAACAGTGTAAGACAAATACTTTATTTTTAGAAGGAAAATAATTAACATACAAGTAAATGATACTAAGCCAATATTTTTCTTTCTTTTTTTTTTTTTTTTCCCCCCCCCGGTA